CCCTTCCCTGCTCTAATCCATCCCCCAGTCTCTCCCAGTCTTGCCCCGCCCCGTCCTGATCCCCTCCGCCTCGCGTCGTCTCGCACTGCTCCACGTACGCTGCCTCCGTTCCGCGACGTCCCTTACCGTTGCACCCCCCTCCCCCGAGATCCAGTCTCCCCTGCCACGCCACGCCCCTCCCCGCCTCATCTCGCCTCGTCTCTGGCTAACCATTCGTGTGCACATCAGTCCTTTTGCCTTCGGAACTTGAAGATTTCCACGGTCTCTTGGAGAGCCGTGAAATACTCAAATGTGTGGAGACCCCGTCTGAGGTCTCGAAAAGCACGGCACACTTATCTTTCTTTCCTGACATATTGATTTTTCAGTTATAGATAGTAAACGTACCCAGCTTATTAATTGCATATATATTTTCCTGTTAATTTTCTATGCACTTGCTCGAGCGTTTTTGTTGTCGACGACATATTTGAGGGTCATTCAGAAGTATGATGAAAATTTTATTTCTGTCATAACGGGCAAAATTACATTATTTTTGGTTTCAGAGATACTTCTGGTACAATTTTATGATATGTTGCTTTCATTGTGTTTAATGTTAAAAATCACTAGGATTCAATGCAATTAATAACTAAAAAAGAAAACAATATATATGATATGCTACAAAAATCGAATATTTAATTCAAATTCAGTAGCAAGCAAGAATTTCACTTCTATTTGCTTCACTTATCTATAAACGCAAATAAAAATAAATGAACATGTTTTAATTTAAATAATGTAAAATATAAGTCTGATGAAGATTTATAAACAATATCTGAGATGCAATGAAATTTTGACTCTATATACATTCAATCTAAGCCGTATCCTCAATATTGCCCAATACAATCCAAATCGTGTCTTCGACAGGACTTAGTCGGTGACGGATTTTTTTACCGTAGATAGAAGGCATGGTCAAAATCAACCGCTGTCGTGAGGAGAATTCTAGCGGCAGGCAACTCTGAGAGGTAGTTTTCCGTGGTTTCTCCGATTCGGGGGCAAGTGAGTGAATGCTGGAACGATGACCTAAAAAATGAACCACGGACTGACCGCGATCTTTCCTTTCTCTTTCTTGTCCTATTCTCTCCCGTTACACATACGTACTAACATTCACTTTTCTGTCATATACGTCTGGAGACCGGTAGGAAGCTTAGAGTTTCTCCCACCTGAGGTGGTGCCCTGATAGAGGGAGATACATGGGGAGGGAAATCCCCCACAGATATACGTGTAGTTTAGTGCCGAATCTCACCAGCCAGCGGGGGAGGATCACCGCTACTTTTCGGGTTTAAACTTTCACTTGGAACTAATGATCAAAGCAGTTGACGAGCCCGAAGACATCAATCAATCAGTGAAACGGGAGGGCTTGTGCCATGTATAGTAATTCATATACATACGAATATCATATGATATTTCATATGATATTAATAATCGTATAAGTCATGAGCAATTTTAGAATCGAAATAATTCAAGGAATAGCCGGTTAATGTTCACGTTATTCAAAATGGATGGATACTGATCAAGTAGAATCATCTCTGAAATATGATTCAAACTTTCGTGGAATGAAGTGAACATTAGCAAATATGAGGGCAAATGCTAACATTAGACAAATGTTGTTCGCAGTTATCTGTTAATTGTCACTCATACAGCTTTACCAAATCGTCTGCTTCATACAGAAATCTTAACCGCGAATTAGTCATATTTACTAGTTAGGTCATTTCATATGTTTTCTATGCGACATAGGTAGCTACCGCGAAAACAATTATAGCAGTATCCGAAAAGTCAATGTATGCATATACTAGAATGTGTTTGTTCCGAGATGATTCTGGAACGCGTGGGTTATTTCCAACCAATTTCTGCAGAA